ATTCCTTCAATCCGGTCGGATTCGAACCGACGACGTCTTCTTGCATACCGTGCCAGACGCTATACCAACTAAGACACGGAACGAACCAACGGACCTCACGGCCTCACCTCTGGCACGGTATGCAAGAAAACGTCGGTTCCAATCCGACCGGATCGAAGGAATTTTTTCTGAGTGTTCGATCTTTATATATGTGGACTAGACGGCGCGCGATGCGCCGGGCCGCCAAAGCGGCCCGCGAGGGCTTTCTTTATATCTGGTGACAAATTGGGAGTTGAACTTTATATTTCAGTAGACAATCCTCTTTGGTTGAATTTGGGTGGGAAGGAGCAGGATTAGATAGATAGATAGATAGATAAAATCTTTATTCGGTTACTGACTGATCCAGTTTAGTTACATGTAGGGGTAGTTGGTATAATCGCGTCAAGTCGTATCTTTAAATATCTTAGAACAATCCACTCGTATATCATTGACAGCTGCGAAGATTCAGAAAAATCAGCGGAAAGCGTTTTAGCCAAAGATAAAACAATTACTTATTTATTTTTATTTATTTAATAGTTTATTGTACAGGAAAAATACAACAAGTCACAAAGAATACAAGCGAAATTAAAAACAAAAGGTTCTGCTTATTTCTAATAGAAATTTCTTCCTGCAGACCTAAATACAGGACACTATAACTAAAAGAACGGGCATATGTGCACAACAAAACAAGAAAAAAAATTAAAAAATATAAAAATAATATAAAAATATTAAATTGTTATAAATTATATAAATATTTAGATAAATACATATTTTATAATATAATACCTAAGATATGGATGGAATAGTAGATAAATAATGCTCTTTAACTCTCACTTTAAAAATAGCTAACGATTTACTTTCGTGAACAGTAATAGGAAGTGCATTCCAAAGTCTGACCGCATGAACAGTGAAGGAGTGAGAATAGAAACCGGAATTGAAGCATGGAAAAGATAACTGGGACCTAACAAGAGAGCGACAGGGTTTATCCTGGGACCTAAGGAAGCTGAAACGCTCTTTCAGGTACCCGGGAGACACAGGGTTATGTAAAATATTGTAAAGAATGGAGACAATATGCAAATTACTTCAAAACCTCGTAGCAAAAGGCATGAATATTTTAAAAGAAATCTTTAAGGGCGCTCCAAATAGTAAACAGAGTAGTACTGTAAACAGGGCGGAAAGTAAGCAGACTAATCGACGCTTGCCCGAGTCTCAGATGCGGATTTGTTTGACGCATTGAGTTTATAAATTTGATGTCGTTAGGTTAATGTACAGACGGAAATAACACCATTGTAATATTGAGCCCTCGTTAGACGTCATAAAAAATGGAAAAGAACTGGGCGTGGGACTTGCGCTCTGATAGCTGTCAAAAAAAGAATGGTGGTTTAGTGCCACAAATCTTCAGTCATACCAGCCACCCGAGACCACCTCCAAAGCACCAGCAGGAGGACGAATTTTGCGGTTAAGCTAGTGGAAAGATTAAAAAACCATAATTATCCGGTTACGATCGGTTCCGACTATTCAATGATTCACCCATTCATTGGAGCAATTTCTTACGACAACGCAACACAATTAACTGACTGCCAGCCGTGCGCATTACATTTTTATCAATACATGAAAACTACATTTGCATCTAATTACATATATATTGTAAGAGCTTGGTAAGAACCTATCTCTAGATAAGATACTATGAAATAATAAAATTAAAGTCGGTGTGGATAGTGACATGTGTTTGTTGATTTTGTACTGAAGTCTTGTCACAAAAACAATGTTATCTCTAGATGTAAATGTAAATTTAAAACAACCTTGTCTAACAATGAGTCAGTAGATACATTAAGGTATCATTATGTTGGTTATTATTATTGGTTATTAGATACCTTCAGAAACTAAAATCTGCTATAACACTACATTATTGCTACTACTTGCGGATACTTTCTCTAATAACTTTTTTCAGGATTTCTAGTGACGAGACGAACAAGACTTGTGCCTGACTACCGTCCTTATTAATTACCAGCAGCTTACCAGCAACTCTAATGTCAAAGTCAAATTCAAATAATCTATATTTCATAGGTACGCAAATTACACTTGATATCGTCATACAGATTAAACTCTACCGCTCATTCGTAAGGCAGGTTCCCCTGAGAAAAATGAGCAAGAAACTCTAGGGATTGCTCTTTGTAAATATGCATTTGAATAATAACGCACACACTCAACATAGCGCTGCACTAGGGAAACTAACACAAATTACACCCAACTCACGAGAGAAATCAATGTAGGCCATACAAATATTTCTCCTGGTCCGGGAATCGAACCTGGGACCTCTGTGTGGCAGTCAATGGTAACCGTTCGGCCACGAAGGCATTTAATATACGTGAATACATTTGTCATTACAATATTCATTAATATCGGCATTACCGCAAAGCAAATTGTTATTTAACTGTGAAAGTAACTGAAGTAAGCCAATCTAGCTGTTTCGATGTCTGAAAGTTTCGTATTTTTTATAATCGCGTACACTGTAGAGATGAGCCGTTTTATACCCTTATTTAATAATAATAAGTATCACTGCTTGCGATTAAAAAAAAATAAAAGGGACATCATTCCAAATTTTCTTTCCGACATCTTTTCGTTTCATGACATACTTATATAAATTAGCACTAACTGCACTAGCTGGTGCTTCGATTTCATCTGCGTAGAATAAGCACTCGATTAGCCCACTGTGCTCATCATCGAGTATATAACCAGAAATAGAGACGAAATAATGTCCATCCATCCCTAGCAACTCATCACGCAAATGAGCCTTATATCACTTTTAAATATCAACTCTCGTTTGCGCTGAGATCACAAATTAGAAAGCTGAAATAGTATAGCGCCAACAACTGACCTGTGTGTATCTCCGTATATTCCAAAAATAATCTATATTTATTGTAATAAAGATAATATCTCTAACAATGGGGGCTGTTCCATTCGGTGGTGTGGGAAAAACAGCAAAACGTCTAATTACAAAAGAAACGGAATCATATTTCATTGGTAATTAAATATGTAATTTTTCAATTCTCGCCCATTATAGCAAAGCTTAAGTTAAACTGATCGTTTTGAAATGAAACAATTGGCGACACCCGTCAATTGGCCAATCGGAGCGCAGTTGTCACTGTAATTATTTGGCAGAATAGTTTTCAAACAAATTAAATGACATTTCGTCTCTATTTCTGGTTATATACTCGATGACTACTAGGTATATTAATTTTCATAGTTTTATTGGTCCTCTATACAAACTTTCATCCCCTATTTTACCCCTTTCATAATTATTTTTGTGACAAAAGTAGCTTATGTCCTTTCTCTTAAGTCTCATCTATCTCTATACAAAATTCATCCAAATTTGGTTCTGAGGCTTAGGCGTGAAAACGCAATAGAGTTAATTTCGCATTTATAGTACATTGTGCGCACTATAAGTTTTCGGAACTGGCCACTTACATAAACAATATTTAAAAGTAATTGCAACATTTCAAAATGGAACTCTTTGGCTGTAGAATACAGTTTCTTTCATGTGACTGTCACTTGTTTTTACATTATGGCGTCATTTTGAAAATTGGTTGTCTACATCATCATGGATTCAACTCGTGAAAACTTTCGTTGTATGATTTTCTACGACTTTAAGTGTAATTTAACAGCTCGGCGGAGCTTCGCTCGGCTTCAAACTGCTTTTGGCGATGAAGCACCATGCTAGACGACTATTTATTTTAGGTGTTTGCAGAATTCAAACGCGGTCGTGTGAATCTTAGTGATGAATTTCGTGATGGTGGCCCGTCCACTGCTGTGAACAACAAAAACATCGATGCTGTGCGCCGCATGATCAAAACAGACAGGCATGTCACATACATACATATTACTTTTTTTTATAAATTATTTTAAACTAGCAGGTAAAACAAAGTCATAATTTAAGCATAATTTACCACCTTTTCTAAAATGTTGAGGGCGAATATTGACAAATACAAAAACATTTTCAAAGCACGTGCAGCAAATCTCCCGAACACACTTCTAGTGTACATTGAACGCTCTTTCTAAAAGTACTGAGTTACCTCATAACTTGAGACCATTGTACAGTACAGACCCTAAGCCTACGAAACCGTTATAGGTGGTCATCGCTGTCAGGCTTGCCGGCCCCCTTTAAATTAACGGACGTCTGTAATATTAACCCTATCTTCAAGAACCACATGCAAGCCATAAACCGATTAAAAATTACGCACTATACTTTTAATTACAATTAGTAGTAATTAAAAAAGCAGCTGTTTGAGACTTAAAGAAATATAAATAATACTAAGTATTCAATGTGTAGTTCTTTAATTTGAAACATTGCCATTACCTACACTATATTGTTTGGTTGCACCCCCAGCTCAATTTCTATCCTTTTTAGGATAGATAATCTGGACGAAACATTAGCTCATTCTGTGATTTTTTTTAATGTGATATAAAGAATATCCATTCGTTCATTCAAATTTTCTTTGGTTGCAATTTGTTTTTATTGGTTTCGGATATTTAACAAAGCCATCACTTGAAACAATTACTAAATAAGATCTACAAGATCTACGCTCTAGTTTAATTAGGATACAGCGCTATGTAGCACTTACGTTGCCCAAGACTTAAATTAAGCAAACTACAAACAAATGTATTTGATGAAATATTAAAATTTTAGTTAAAAGAAAACTGACTTCGCCTTCAAGGTTTTACCGCTAACCACAAAAAGCCAAGAAAGGAAAAAAAATATCAAATGCGCATTGCGCAGTCAAAACTTCAAAACATCTGTCTTTGTCTATGGTATGACATCATGGTTGGTTGCTGTCACTTCACTTCAATAGGTTTTCGATTGGTCGTCATTGAAATTGTATGTGCGACTGATCTACCATCCTTTTATATCGTGCTAGAAATTTAAATAATTGAATTTCTATTTCTTCACATATTAAACACTTGTTTCCGCATTGAGGTTGAATGTACTGAAGCGATTTAATTGGACGCCCTCCGTGTCCTATGGAAGAAAAAATAGTTCACGCATAGTGTTGAGCAAGCAAAATACATACAACATTGACCCCGAACGGAATTGTGATGGAATCTTACTTCAACGCCACCGCGAGGCGGAAAAAGGAGACCGATGGGTACAAATGAGGTGGTGGAGTTTTATAGTGTTGTGATTGAGCAGACCGTGAAAGGAAGTCGGTCGCTGATCGATGGGATTAATGTGCGCGTGACGGTGACATGAGCACAAACAACAAAAGGCGTGGAGCTAGCGGTTCCAGTTGTTCTGTGTCTGGAGTACCCACCCTCGTGAACGTCCCGACCGCCATGTCTGCTGATCTCGCTTCGCTGTTCGAGTGTCCCGTGTGCTTCGACTATGTCCTGCCCCCAATACTGCAGTGCCAGAGCGGGCATCTGGTCTGCTCGAGCTGCCGTCCCAAGCTGTCGTGCTGCCCGACGTGTCGCGGCCCCCTCGGCAACATTCGCAACCTCGCCATGGAGAAAGTGGCCAGTAATGTAATGTTCCCTTGCAAACACTCCAACACAGGCTGCACAGTCACCCTTGTTCACACTGAGAAAGCTGAGCATGAGGAAGCCTGTGAATTCAGGCCATACTCCTGCCCCTGTCCAGGTGCATCTTGCAAATGGCAGGGAGGATTGGACCAGGTAATGCCTCACCTTATGATGTCACATAAAAGTATCACCACTCTGCAAGGAGAAGACATAGTTTTCTTGGCCACAGACATCAACCTGCCCGGGGCAGTGGACTGGGTGATGATGCAATCCTGCTTTAACCATCATTTTATGTTAGTCTTGGAAAAACAGGAGAAGTTTGATGGTCACCAGCAATTCTTTGCCATCGTGCAGCTCATAGGTTCCAGGAAGGAAGCTGAAAACTTTGCATACAGATTGGAATTGAACGGGCACCGCCGCCGGCTAACGTGGGAAGCCATGCCACGGTCTATCCATGAAGGAGTCTCATCAGCGATCATGAACTCCGACTGTCTTGTGTTTGATACCTCATTGGCACAGTTATTTGCCGATAATGGTAACCTTGGAATTAATGTCACAATTTCGATTGCCTAAATGCCAATCACTGATATAAATTTGTCACCGGGCCTTGTTTCATTGACTTCAAACTTAATCCAATTACATTTTTATGTCAATGAAATGATACCAATGATGTGAAAATTTAAGAAAAATATGTACCTAATGTTGAGAGTGGTTATAATAACATTTTTGATTAATTTGTTACAGTATGCGAAGACATATTTTGACTCCACATGACATGTTTTGTTTAATTTGTAATCAAAGAATTATCAAAGCCAAAAATTTTCTTTCCTTCATTAGAGCCCTGCATTGTAGGTTGTGACATTTAATAGTTCTATATGTATAATTAATATCTAGGAATGTGTTGAGAATAAAGAATTCATTTCTGCCTGTCTATTTTGGAACTGTATAGCTGATATTGCAGGCATTTAGAAACCAATGCAAAATATATGATTTACCATTTAGTAGTCCAGCATTTCTCGTTTTCTGTACTTACATATACATAATAAGTAAATGAGTCTTCAATGCATGTCCTGCTATGGTAGTTTCCATGGTGAATATTGGTACCAAAGTACTGGAATAAATCTACTTTCTATGACTAAGCAATAAAGGCCGGTTTACGTGGATAAAGTAAATGATAAGTAGAAGTACATGGCCTGGTGAGTTTGGCTAGTGCAAAAACAATGCATCGATTATGAACCGTGCTATGAAATTACATTCAGCTTACTTGTGTAAAGCGGCCGTAAACTTCTTATTTATCAAAGAGTCATAAACTAAGTGTGATCTCTTATTTCTCTTATTATTAGTAATATTATTGCAACTCTTTTATAACTGTATATGTTAATCGACTATTTCATAAATACATTTGTGTGTGTTCAATTTAGTAAATTAAAAATTTTTCAGTGATTATCTATGAATGCCTTTTGAATGTATGTATATAGTTTGTAAAAGAATAAATTATGACCTCTTATGGGTTTAAAAGCGAATATTTTATTCCAAACAAGAACAAATCTAACAATTAGTGATTTGTACATATATGCTTGAGTATATTATGATGTTAAGGATTTGATATAATTGTGATTCTCGCTTCTTCAAATAAATTGGCAATGGCGTAATGTAAACCCGGACTTTTTTGTAATAATTTAATTTTAATAGAAGGTATATTTACTTAATCAATATTTGTTTCTTTTGTTTTTTTTAATATTTAAAACTTCCCAGCTGTAGAAACTTACGTTGATAGACAACCTGTTATGTACAGGATCATGAGCATGTTCACCTCGACACTAAGCTTAGATGTTAGAACTCGACTCTGTCGCTTATGATAAGTATGGTCAAAAATGTCAGGCTGTGGTCAACCTTGTGCTCTTCACTGTACTTAACAATAATATACATACATATTTACTTAAATAGGCCTTAAGACTTATTACTATTCATTTCATATTTTATAAATAGTGGAGTTTTCATAAGTTATTCTGACAAATACGGTCGGAACCAAAATGTACTGACCGTTCTGTATTCAAAAATATCCAAACAACAATGATAATGTCACTGTACAAAAATCGGCATTTTTTTGACTTTCTAATTTAAAAACTAAGAAACTCAAAACGTTAAAAGTGTATTCGTGTAAGAACTGTAACTACAAAAGCCCGCCATTTTTTCTGCTGCTGGTTTTTTTTTTTTTCAAATGACTGAATTTCTTTAACAAAACTTTGACCTTGATTTACAAATAAGGACATGTTCATAACGCCGATAAATATTTATTTGACACGCTAAAGCGAGAAATTACCATTGATCGCTCAAACACTAAGAATACACTTAAAAATAGTAAAGAACACTTAAAAATCATTACAACACAAGATAGCATCTTTAGTTTAGACATGATCATCTAGTCCTATTCTGTTGATATTTCCTTGTACACTGGGTCTTGCGGGTAGATATGAGCGCCGATAATAGACTTACCGGCTCCGGCGGCGGCGGCGCGCCGACGAAAAAGTGTCGGCAGCGGCGGCGTTTCGGCGGCCGGCGCGAGCGCGACCCTAAAACGAATTTGTATAACGGTGTTTGTTTTTACAAAAACCCTTATACAAATACTTTTTCTAAGGAAAAAATAAAATAACGTATTTTCTATAGTAATCAATTTTTTATCTGTTCGATGTATGTATGTATCGGAGCGCCTGGCTCCGATAATAAGCACGCGCACTCTTCCGTATTGTGTATGTGTAGTGAAAATGGCGACGCCAGAAATTAATTATTTAAACAAAACATCTTTAAATATAAAGTCACAACTTTTGTCGCCCATCTATGCCACCTCTGCTGAGGCTGGACGGCACGCTGGCCTATACTGCAGAAGACAAGGCAAATCTTTTTGCCTCACTCTTTGCAATGGTCGGTTTCAGATAACCTCCATAAATGTGTCCCTTTCAATAACTTTTATGTTTTTACATAAATGCTAAGCATTACTTATTTAATATGATTGCTTGCTTACTTAGTCTGTGTTACACATAAAAATACTACTTTACTACGTCAGAGTAATAAATAAAAATTAAAAAGTGGGCAATTTCTCATTCATGGGAGCCGGTTCCACGTCGCCCTAATTTTAACAAACGAAGAAAAAAATTAAGCACTCGTGGAAATCGCAATATTTCCCATCGAGGATAAACTCTAATAACTTTCACGTCGAATGCATACCGTAACTTTCCAATTTATTATAAACAAACATATTTTCTTAGGAATACAAAATTTGTTTCAATTTTCCTTATCATTAGTGTCACTTCAACTAAAAGCCTCCTAATAACAAAAGTTCATACCGCATCACCTTCACCCTACGCACACGTGAGAAGGGGCTCCTGTCGGATTGGAGTGTACACAGTGAAGTAACCTGTGCATCTCCGTTTTAGCAAAAAATCGACTTAAATACCAATTTCAGCGCTAGTGACTACATCGTTCTCATTCATGTAAAGTAATCTATCTAAATAAATATTAAATGATAGTTTTATAAACTTTATTGTACATCAATCATACAAAGGGAGCTTTAAAATCCATGCACATTTATAACGGTCCAGCATATTTTACACACTTGACAATTAAAAATGTATCCAAATATTATTATTGTCGCTCTCATTCTTGTCTACTTTTAAGTCAAATAGTTACTTTAAGCCATTGACTTACAAATAAATGGACGACGGGTTTAATACAAAAACCACGAAAACAATGTCCCAAGTCAACCTATTCGAAATTTAAATTGTAATGTCATCGCAGTATCGCGCTGTCAGTAGAACAAATGAAGACTAAAGCGGAGTGTCGCGCTCTGTATACGATTTTAGCGCGTTACAAGTGCGGACACTTTTTAGCGCGGACCCGACGTCCATATAATTGTAAGTCAATGCTTTAAGCCGAACATTTAATTGAAATATAACAATTAGATGGTGATAGTGGTGGTGATGACGGTGGTGACGACGATGATAGTGGTGATGATGACGATGATGATTGTGATGATAATGTGAATGGTAATGATGCTAATGATGATGATGTTGATGGTGGTGATGATGATACATTGATGTACAACAAAGTTTACATGACATTAACAAAATACTTCTTTAGATTTGTTTATTAATTACAAATCGATAGATAGATGGTCTTACACGGTTGAGAAAGATTTTGATACAAGAAGTTATATTAAAATATTTGTTACATGTTAAATGATGTTAAATGTTCTTTTGTGAACGATAAAATGTGTGTTGTAATAATAATTTCTCATTACTGTGCCGTCTTTCTCATTCATGTTTTTGAGAAAATCATTCGTGTTACTGCAATCTCATTCGTGCGACCTAAAATATCGTTTTTTGTTGTATTTAACTTAAATATTTCTGGGATTTTATAATTATTCACATTGCTTGAACTTATTTGTACGTTTAAGACCTTAAAACCAAAAGAAAAAAGAGTTTTACAAAAATCACTCAAAAAGTGCCATTGAAATTCGGAAAGTGAAATTCACCCGCAAAGAGTTCGCGTCTGGATCTCATATTACTTCAAACTGGCTGCACTATGGCGCCAATTCGCATACGCCAAAAAGAGGTACTTAGAACTCTGCGGAATCTAGACGTGAATAAAGTTGGCAGGCCAGATGGAATCTCAGCACTAGCCCTACGTAACTGTGCGCCTGAATTGTCTCCTATTCTCACACGCCTACGCCTGTACCGCCTCTCACTTGAGACTGGTGTAGTTCCCAGGTCGTGGAAGCTTGCAAACGTGCAACCTGTGCCGAAAAAGGGAAGCAGAGCTGACTCTGTCAACTATAGACCTATCACAGTCACTTCCCTACTATACTATGGAACGTGTACTCAACCACCGTCTCCTGTCGTACCTTGAAGACAACGACCTCCTCAGTGGTCGCCAGTACGGATTCCGACGAGGGCGATCAACTGGGGATCTTCTTGTGTCTGCCTGTCACATCCATATGTGACATGTGATGTGACTCGTTCCATAGCGAGGCTATAGAAAAGCATGGTGAAGCACTTGCAGTGCCTTTGGATATTTCTAAAGCCTTTGACAGGGTCTGGCACGCAAGCCTTTTAAGTAAGCTTCCCTCTTATGGGCTTCCCACTGACCTTTGCAATTGGATCTCGGATTTCTTGAGCGAACGTTCGATTCGAGTGGTCTTAGAAGGCTACCCTTCCGAACATATGGCGATAGATTGCTCAGGGTTCCGTACTGTCTGCAACTCTCTTTCTGCTGCATATCAATGATATGTTAATTCCAGCTACCCTTGCGTATACTGATAACAACACAGTTATACATAGGTACAAAAATAAAAAGACAATAAGTACTTGACCAATGCAAGGGTCAGTGGAGAGGAAATCCAGTCTTGTCGAGAATCCATGGTTAGCCATTTGGATTTGACACTCTCCAGGCAGTCTCTGATTGGGGCGTGTCAACTTGCCAAATTTAACGCTACCAAAACGCAGGCGAGTCTACGGCGCCGGCGCGGCGCTCATATCTACTTGCAAGGCAAGATGGAAGGGCCTGCTTTTGTACGGAAAGCAATGATGTTGATGTCTCTAGTATTTGAGTCATTAACTTTGGTAGGTCAATGTATTTTGGTCGGAAAATCATTAGTTTGAATGGAATGCATTTTCAAATGATGGCGTAATTAAAATGATATCATAAAAAAGTAAATGAAGAAAGGAACGTTACATCAAAACTGCCTACGCGTCAAACGTATGTTGGATCGCTTTTTTTTACATACTCTCTTGTATAAAACAGCGTAATAAGTCTGTGCATACATCCTTAAAATGCACATTGGAGACGGCACATGGCAGAACTGGCAACCGTTGAATCTATCAATGTTTACCTATTATCAACATGATAACCGACGAGCCAGAGTCATGACGATCGGAAGATGCGTGATTACGTTGCTGTATTTCAATACAGAGCCCGTTAATTCATTGATATGATTCAAGATTACAAAGATAATGATAAGGCTCAATTTACATCGCGGCGGAACGGAATGGAATGGTAGCGTTAATTACGTCTCGTTGCGCGAGAAGGCGCCCGTGGCCGCCGGAATGCTCGAGCATTGCTCGAGCGGCTTGGACTGCAGCTTGATTTTGATTACCTCTCCCGATAGGAAACTGCGTCTTTTCCGAGTCGAGGCGCCTAATTGCGATTCACAACTGGCAGATCGGAAACTTTTGACATTTGTAATCGGAACTATAGTTGATTTAACTTACAAATTAGAAAGATATAGTAGGAATCAGGTTCATCTTCTTGCTCATAAACCAATCTGATTCCGATTTGATTGCAAATCAGCGCTGTAGTATTTCGTCAACGTTTGACGTCACACTCAGTTGTCTATGGTCACACTGCGCCTGGGTTCACGCCACTTCCCGCCGATTCGCCAGGCGTCGCCGACGACGGCTGACGACCTCCTTGTGAGTATAGTGTTCTGTGCTGATGACGGCAGCTGCAGCATTCTCTCGAATGCGTGTGACAATTGACCATAAAGTTTATTGCGCTATGTTTGTGATAGCGATATCGTTATCGTTACAAAAATTCGCTTCCATTCCGTTCCGCTCCAATGTAAATTGAGCCAAAGGTTGAAACTTAACTAAAACAATAGTAGATTGTACAACAAGTGCATAAAACGCGCCATTTTACCCGAGACGAGTATATATGAATACTTTAAGTTAAGGGTAAAATGGGTTTTATGAACTAGTTATACACTCTGCTTTTCACTTCGATTGCGAGAAAATTAAACAGCGATATTACAAATAAACAATTATTTAATTATAATTGAATGTAAAATTACAACAATTAGACATATTTTATGTGATGGTTTTTTATTTTATGCACTAGAGCAGCCTTTCCCAAAGTGGGCGATAACGCCCCCTCGTGGGCGCTCGCTGCAGGTCTAAAGGTAAGAGGGGGATTTGTAATTTCATCTAGTCCAAGAAAGAAGGTGTGCAGGTATGAAGGTATTGGACCATCTTAATTCTTTTAGTACTAAGATCCAATTTACTATGGAACAAGAGAATTGTGGTACTTTAGCTTTCTTAGATGTTTTAATTAAAAGAAATCCTAATAACACCAGCCATAGTGTATTTCGAAAGAAAACCCATACAGATAGGTAGGTATCTCAATGGTAATTCCCATCACCATCCTAGCCAGTTAGCTACCTTGGGCAAATCTTTGTTTCAGAGAGCACACGGTGTCTGCGACAGTAATCATCTGGCAGGGGAATTTCAACATATAAAGCAAGTCCTACATGCGAATAAGTTGAAGATTCCACGCCAATGCCACAGGCCCCGTGTGAAACCACCAACAGTCGAGCGAAGACCTGCCATCTTACCTTACGTGAGAGGTGTTACAGACAAGATCGGAAGAGTCCTCAGGCGCGCATCTATCAAGACCTATTTCAAGGCCCTGAGGAAGATTTCTCAGTTCCTGAGACCCGTGAAATGCAACATCCCCTTACAGGATGCAGGAGTTTACAAGCTTCACTGTGAGTGCGGTCTCTCTTATATTGGACAAACAAAGCGAAATATTTGTACCCGCGTCAAAGAACATACAGCTGATGTCAAACACCGTCGCGTAAACAAGTCTGCAGTCTGCGAGCATGTCATGGATAAACCTACACATTCAATGAAGTTTGACAAACCCCAGGTCCTTGCAAAAGAAGTCCGTTATCTACCCAGGATGCTGCGAGAGGCCATTGAAATTAAAAAACATCCTAATTTCAACAGGGAAGATGGTTTCTCCGTACCACCAGTTTGAGATCCAGTATTTCCTCTAATGAAAAATCCCAAACAGACATAAGACTGCAGTACTAATTAATATGTTTTAGTTTATTCTAATTTCTATTAATAATTAATAATAAATTGAACTTAATAAAAATTCATTCGATAAAATAATTTGTAAAACTTAATATAGCGTAAATTGGAATGTTTTCTTTGTAAAATTAAAAATAAGGTATTTAATTAATAACTATAGTGAAAAAATAGGGTGGTTTGCATCAATATTAGACATAACTGGTTGAAGACTGTACCACCTCAGTCAACCGTGACCATGGGACCTGTAAAGGGCCCGAAACCCTGCACTGCATAAAATCCTATTTTATGCAGCCTACACCCAGCATAAATACGAACTTTTTAGGCCATTATCACATTGCACCGCGCCCCGCGACGGTGCACGGAGCTGCGTTTTTAACATTGTACTTCAGTTTGTTTGGAAAACACGCGTCGTCGAACACACTGACAACGCTTCTTCGCGCGGTGGGGCGGGCGCGGCGAACCGCAGGGTATGGCACACTGCGCTCCGCACTACCGCGCAGATTTTTAATCAATTTGCGTCTATTCCAGTAATTGTCGTTCAGATTTTCCCTAACAAATAATTAAAGGATTCAGTTGACATGCGTGTTTAGTTGAAAAATTAATCTTCATATTTTCTTAAACCTTTGTAATGAAGTTGAATGTTATTTTCGGTGTCTTTTTATTTGAGTAAACAAAAACCAAATCGACAGTATAACTGCGGCGTCCTGATTGGGTTCTGTTATATTAACCATTATTGTCAAAGAAGGATTTCAGCTACATGTACAATCACTACGGCGATCAACTAACAAGCGAGTACTTTAAGTGGCGCGCAGCCGCTAGACCGCTGCCCCCGCGCTGATTAAACCGCGCGTTGACGCAGGTCTGACGCGGGGCGCGGTGTAGTGTGTTCGCTTCAATCGCCTCAGAGCATGAGAAGTGAAAATGAATTTTACATATGAGATTTAGTCGGTGGATGATATTATTGATTTAAATTAATGATGTAGGTTTTTCACTAGAAGGTTGTAGGGTCGTATTCCAGAACTCTACTCAATGCTCAAGTCAGGACTTGAGTATGATTCCAAGCACTGGAAATCATAGTCAAGTCCTTGCCATTAGGGTCGTATTTTAGTTTATCCATTATATATATATAGACTTATTATATAGACTACCCATTAGGGTAGTCACCGATCCCAGAAATAAGTCGACCACATATTTGTGAAAGGACATCTGAATAATTGCGAACATCTATAGACGCGCTTCTTGCGTGAACCACAGCTAATTATTTCATTCTGTAGTTCACGTATGTCCACCTGAGTGGATCATGGGCATTTAATTCTTCCCGTAAGGCGGTAGTAATTATTTTCCATTACGTCTACCGTTTTTTTACCAGAATTGTAGTAGTTGAGCTCCTTATGAGTTCATCCAGGGAACAATTGCCACCTTACCTATTTCTGCAGCCAAGTGGTAATGCGAGCATTACTGCGTTCCGGTTTTGAAGGGTAGACTGGTAAATTACAGGCACGTGGGACTTGTCAACTTACGTCTCAGAGTGACGGGCGCAACAGCAGTGCCTCTGCGCGATTTAAGGCTCGAGTAGCACTGCAAATGTTATGAACAGGCGTGTCGCGTAATACCAGGCGCACGACTTGTTTGTTCCGTCACTTGGTGTTATAAAATTTATGTATGTTGTAGATATTGGCATTCCAATTTTATGATATTTTGGTTTAACTAACACGTTATCAGTATTTAAACATAGTTTTATAACATTGTTGTATGACGTACCGCTCAACAATGAATAAAAACTAACTTTTGTATTAATTAATCAATTACTATATTTATTTTATTGTTGTTTCAATACACGTTTTTTACAACGAATATTTATATTCTGATACCAAAAATACAGTCAAGAACACAAGAAACAAATCACTTGCTATTTACGACATGCAAATTTTCTCACTCTTATCGACTTTAAAATATAATTTACAAATTAGACATTATACAAACAATTTAAAGTTGAAAGTATACATTGCAACAAAGAGATCATAATCAAGTACCACCATTATTATCTTATTTGGCAATTGATTCCATAAAATTTAAATTAAAACAATGAAAATAAATAAACTTACGTTTTATATGTATGTGACATAAGAACACAAAACAAATGTGGAATGATATGAAATATTAACAAAACAAAAACAAATTAAATTATCATCGTGTATATGTCCAGAATCAGAGACGAAATAATGGCCCATCCGTCTCTGGCACCTCATCAGGCAAATGGCCCTTATATCAGTTTTAAATATCAACTCCCGTTTGCGCTGAAATCACAAGTTAGAAAGCTGAAATAGTACAGCGCCAACAACTGACTTGTGTGTACGTCTCCGTATATTACAAAATGTATTTATTGTAATAAAGATAATATCTCTAACTATGGGGACCTGTTCCATTCGGTGGTGTGGGAAAAATCGCAAAACATCTAATTACAAAACAAACGGAATCACATTTCATCGGTAATTAAATATGCAAGTTTTCAATTTTCGTCCATTATGGCAAAGCTCAAGTTAAACTGGTCGATTTGAAAGTAACCCGTCAATTGTTTCGAAATCGGTGTGGCCAATCGGAGCGCAGTTGTCACCGTAATGATATGGCAGAATAGTTTTCAAACAAATTAAATGATATTTCATCTCTATTTCTGGTTATATACTCGATGGAAATTATATAGGCAATATTCTTAAAAAAGTAATTAGTTTAGCACCAGTATAATTAATAAACATTTCAATAAAACACAACTCTCAAACACCTTTGTTTTATAAGAGTACATAGTCAACCAAATGCCTCAGGAAATTGAATTTGGGTTTAGGTCTTTGTTAGTTTGGGTAACGATTATTTAATCGCAATAAGGCGTACGAACGACACACTAACAAGTCTTACCTTGGTGAGCAAGCTATATAGGGTTTATTATAAAACTCCAACAACTTCGCAAGACTGTTAACGATGATAAAAATTCACTGTCCATTGTATTACTAACATCATTAACAACAAATTTTGTTCCATAAATTTTTGTTGCCCTATCTGACATTATTTAAATTTATATTTTTAAGTAAGTTCAAAGTGACCTATGTGAAAGTGAAAACATAAATAATATCTTAAAAGACTACTTCAAAAACACAAAGCTCTTTTTGACATTGTATAAATACGTTAAAAAAACACAATAGAAAATATTTAAATAGTGAGGCGATAATTAAATTAAGACCTGGCTCAAAGGACTTGTAAACGCGCATGCATCCTCTCCAACGACCCCCACCCCCGCTCCTGCGTGTTACCGCACAGAGTTATCACCGTTCAGATACTTCAATATTTTTATTTTTGTACGAAAGTAAAATATGAGGCATTATTAAGTTAAAGTTGTTAATGATGTTAGTGACATACTGCCGCGGTTAGTTGAAAGGGCGCTTGTGACTACAACTCAAAACCGAGAAAATACTGTTTGAATAAATTTAATGAAAAAAATTATCTGCGGTTTCCAAACGAAAAAATGTAGACACTTTCTGCAAACGCAGTAAGATAAACCTATATTATACGCAAAATATGGAATTTAAAATATTTTGTTATTTATGCTTCATTATTACACTTTTTCCTTTTCAACTTAGTAAGAAAAATGTTCGTAAAATACTCACGGCAGTACTGCCGCCGTTAGTTGAAAGGGCGCATGTGACAGTTTTTTAAATTTGTTACGTATACTGCCATGACTTACATTATGTGGATTATAACATATGTGGACAAGCAAGAGAAAAGTAGATATTTTTTAATTTCATTTCTTCAAACATTATTTTCTCGGTTTTGAGTTTTTGTTACCAGCGCCCTTTGAACTAACGGCGGCAGTATAGTTCACAAAGAACCCTGTAGACTCTAGGAAAATTAGTTTTCAAAACTCAATCCAAGAGCTCTGAACTCTAACTACAAACGAGTCATGGCCCGTAATAAACACCTCAATTTAGTATCCGTATCGCGGATAGCCCTCTGCACAGCATTTTTGTAGGAGGAAGAAACTTTCTTGCACATCATACTACAATACTCCGGCGTGGACAACTGTAGGGCGAAATACCTAGGTCGTTTCCCGAAGTCTTCAGCAAACCGAAGGGATGCTGAGATGTCTGGAGGAGCTCAAGTGGCAGAACTGTTCCGGAAACCAGCCATTACACAATAGCGTTGATAAACATTCTAATTAGGCTTGCTACTTTGTGGTTGCAAAGGAGATGGCAAAAGGCAAACAGAAGTAGGCGAGTCATTATCATCTAAAATAGATACACTTTGCTTTTCAGACACTTTCTTAGGAGGAACATGGACATAAAAGCCTGAATTAAAGGATTCACGCTTTACCTCCGGATTAAAAGGATTGTCCTTAGGTGGGACAAAAACTTTACTACCTGAGCTGAAGGACTCTTTTGGTAAACTAAACGGGTCTTCAGTCTTCATATTTGGGCTAAAGGGATCCTGTGCACTAGTGCTACCACAATCTCCTGATGCGTGATGGAAAGTCTTTTCCGAACTGAATGGATCCTGCTGAGGCATAAACGGGTCATGATGGACGATGTCAAAAGGGTCTGCAGTATATTTCGTCTTTGAATCAGCGAGACCGAACTCATCAAAAGACTCCAGTCCAAAATTTGATGTCTGAGGTGCAAAGGGATCAAAATCCTTTTTCAATCCTTCTGGACTAAACGGGTCTTTAGGTTTGGGAGATTTCGAAGGAGCATCTTCAGCGATGCTGTTGTCACCACTGAAGTCAGAAAGATCAATATCATAGTTTATATTACTCAGTCCAGGTGCTAACTGATCACTGCCGAACTCATCTGGAGTCATCAGTTCGTCTATAGAACGGGAGTCGAATGGTGTAAATCCAAGTGGGGACGGTGTTAGTAGTTCCAGTGAGTTCGTCTGTTTTAAATCCCATGACTGTTCTAGATTTTGTGGTGATTTAGGTGGAGATGGTTTCTCAATAGCTTCGAAGCCGAGAATGTTTAGTTTTTCTTCATTCGCGATTGGTTCCAGGTTTTCTTCAATTTGGACTTCTGGTTCAAGAACTTCAGCTGGTGTCTCTTCGATTTTAGCTGGTGATTCGAAACGTGTGGTTTCTTGCTTGGTTTCGGTTTCTAGATCAATAAGCGGTTGGGTATTGTTCAATTTACCGAATTGTGGTATTTCTCTTCTCGGCGTGATTTGTAGTGGTGTCTTCGCGAGGACATCTTGGACTTTTATTGCTATTTGTTCCTGTGGAAAGGACAATTGTTTTATATAATATCTTTTAAAACTACAGCTATAATTACAGGAATAAAAGGTATCAGAATGATTTGCAATCGTTCATATATGATCAGAGTCTGCCTTAGTGATGTCATCACACAATTTTTGTCTAAACTAAATCTGATTACACAATTACTTTTTTTCTCCTTTTGATGTCATTAACCGATAGTTACATTCTTGATATTTAAAAAGGAAATATCATTAATACTAATTGGAATGTCGTCTCAAATATTTATCAAGGCACCTCTAAAGCGTAGTAAATAATAAGCCGATGTAATGGTCAATGAAGTTCCGTGCCAACCAAGCAGTAAACACAACAGAGAATCCCATTTATTAAACACGCGCAAGCAACCAAAGCATCCCATGTAATATATACGTGCTTATTAAGAGTCCGTTTCGGCTGGAGACAAATCGAATGGGTCTCGATTTGTCCGCAGCCGCGGGAATGGCCTCGGCCTGGGTCACCTGGAAGGAGCGCGCGTCGCTGGCCAGCTTGTGCGCCTGCGCAGTGACGTGGCGCGCGTCCTGCAGCAGCCGCGCCGCCAGCTGGCGCTGCTCCTCCGCCTCGTGCGACGCGCCGCACAGAGACAGCGCGCACGCCTGCCACACAATACCTCGTGACAGATTTCTTAATATGGCGTTGGACTAGTATGTTAATCATACATGTAACCTCGTTTCGAATCAATACAGGCCAGTGTTAACCAGTAAATATGTTATAACTATTAATACAAAGATTCGAACCAACATCTTCCAGCAAACCGTACCAGACGCTATGCCAACTAAGCATCGTATTCTAGAACTCTACTCAATGCTCAAGTCAGGAGTTGAGTATGATTTCAAGCACTGGAAATCATAGTCAAGTCCTTGTCATTAGGTTCGTATTTCCAGTGCTTGAAATCATACTCAAATCCTGACTTGAGCATTGAGTAGAGTTCTGGAATACGACCCTAAGACACGGAACGAACTAGCGGACCTTCCGAATTTTTGTAATTCTTGCAGATCTTAGTTTTTGGTTTTACAACTACCAGCATCTGCTAGAGATGTCGCTTTAATAATTATAATTTTTAGATTATTGAATATCTCGGTGTTTATGTATACAGTAACATATATTTAACCCCACCGAGAAGAAGATTTAGTAGAGTATTTTTACCACAATGCGGTAGAAGTAGACTGTAGAGTATCTTACCCAAGAACTGCCGCCGATGGAAGCAGGCATGGCCATGTAGCAGTCAAATTCCTTTTTATCCATGTTCAAGGACTCAGCAGTTAAGTTTTCGATGAACGATACTGCGCAGCACTGTTAATAAAATCGATTTACTTTACAAGGTCTTAATTACTGTACACCCAAATCGAACGCAAAGAAAAATTCCTTCGATCTGACAGGATTCGAATCTGGGTCTGTATGCCAATATAGAGCTACTGCTCTACCAACTGAGCTATGGGTCGAGTGTCTCTATTGCAAATATTATTCATTAGAACATCTTGGTATTCACTATCCATAAGTCCTCGAAATATTATCTCCTTTCACAATTTATCGATAAAACTATCGACAACAGCTATGTGACTATTTAAAATTTTTTGAAAAATGGCAACCCCATAAACGTCACTTCATTTCGTCTTAGAAAAAAACATACAAGCTTTAACTAGACAGTTATTGGTAGTCTTTGTTTGAAGCCTTTCGCAAACTATCGATAAAACTGTCGACAACAACTACATGACTATTTCAAATTGTATGAGAAATGGCAACACTGCGTATGTCACTTTAATACGTGTTAGAAAAAACAAAACAGCCAGTTTCGATTATACCAATAATCGCCTTGGAAAGCTAATTACTTACAAGGTTAGTGAAGTAATACCCGCCCTCGCCGGTCATAAGCCGCTGGGCGTTGCAGAACCGCGTCACGAAGTTGATGTTGCTCACCAGTCGAGGCGGGTTGGCTTTCAACACCTGGAAAACCATAACACATCGATAATGAAAAGGTGGTAATAATAATAACAATAAATACTGAACAAAGTTTCCATAGCAGTAGAGATCATTGAGATAGAGTTGGTCCAGGAAAGTACTGCCTTATCCTTGCCACGGAAGCAGTTAAATATATTTACGTGCACTTTTAACAA